TTTTATGCAAATAAACTTTTAGATCATTTGGATTCTTCAGTTTAAACCCAGCTTTTGCACAAATTCTGCAACTGATTCTTCCCTGCTAGTTTCCTCCTTATCTTCCTCTCTTCTCACTCCTAGGGATCTTCTCACTCCTTTCCTTATTTCCTCCATCATTTGTCCTTTCTATCCCTTTTGTAAACCCCCTCTGCATTTCCTTCCTTTCCACTTCACCCATTAGACCCTCAATGGTTTCCCAAATCTTTGTCTCCCTACAAGTTTTCTCCACCACTTCCTCCCCTTCCTTATCCCCTTGTACCCTCACTGTGGCTTTCTGACCATGGGCCTCGGACACTTGGTTGAGAAAGGAATCTGGAACAAGGGACACAGAGCACTCATCAGTAGCAAAAATTGAATTGATAGAGTTAACAGAAATACCTGACGTCAACTGAGGGTGGAGAGGGGTATTCAAACGAGGAAGATTGGTTGTCACTCCCTATTCAGAGAATTTGGAGCTCTCTATCTCCTCGGATTGGAGGAAATTAATCCCCGTCACTTCGTCTGCAGAAAGACCTCTTCCTGTACCCAATTGTTTACCTCTCTGTGATGTAATCTTGTTCAGTTCAGAGTAAACCTGGGCTGACTCCTTCTCAGGTTCTTGCAAGACACTAGAACTTGGGAGGGGCACGTCCAGTTTTGGGCTAAGGACTGCTCTGTTACAGGTGTTTGTTTCATTCACCCACTCCTCCCCTTTTTCCTTTTGTTCCCCCACTGCCTCCTCGAGAAACAGAAGTTCCAGATTTAACGTTCCCCTGTTTTGATCTTCAATATTATCTTCATTTTCCGAGCTGCCCAAACTTTCAAACTCTTCTGAATTCTCATCACAATCGTTCTCTGAGCTGCAGCTTATCCATCCTTTGTCTTCCTCTTCCCTCTCTTCTATTCTGTTCCTCGCATAACGCGGGTTTGGGCGATCAAGACCAAGGCTTTTCTGCTCGTCAACGGCCTGTCTACATACCCAACTCAGAGTCCGGTTACCCCCTGTCACGCGTCTGTTCTGGTATTTCAGGTGTCCGACCAAACCCTCCTTAGACAATGATAGATGACAAGTTTCATCTATCATCGAGTTTTCACAAAACCGCCCCACGTGATAACTTAAGTTGTCACGTTGGCCTCTTAAGGTGCAACCGGGTTCCCCTTTTCTAGCCGGTTCAGTTTTGTTACAGCCGGTTCAGAAAAGGATTTCTTAAAGTAAACTGCTCGCCCTTTTCCCCTTCTGGCCACATCAGCAAAGGAAGGGCCACCCCCGAAACTCAGTTTAGTTTCAAAGAAATTTGAATTGATAGCCTTAAAGGGAAGGCTTCTATACAAGTAACCTCCCTGCGACTGTTCCCCTTCCTCTTTCACTCTCGCATGCGCATCAGAGTTCCCCTCCAATCCCTGAGAGCCATGTGTGCTCCAACCTGCGAGCTCCTCTCCGTCTCCTTCCTCTGTTCGTCTTCCCCACAGCGACACCTCAGCTTCTGAGGCTGCCCAAACTCTGTACCAAGCACCATCTGAGTGCACTTCAAAGGAACGAGGCACATTTTCTGGTTTGATACCTGCGACCTTGAGTTCTACAGCACACAAGCACCTCAAGTTCACCTCCAGCAGGACACCCCCCAAAGCTCTTGTGAGTCTCCTGAGAGTTGGTTCGTTCCAAAGATTAAAGGGTAGCCCTAGAAGCTTGATCAGAAGACTACCAGCTTTTGGCTCCACTTCGTTGCAAACTGGAACCCAGTTTTGAACCTGTATTAGTCTTCCTTCTACTTGGACGGTGCTAAAGTTCAATTTCTTATCGCCAACATCTAAGATGGCTTTCTTCTCTGCAAAGGGTAGCAGCATTGTTTCTTCTTCTTCTAGGCCCAGTTTCTCAGCAACTGCAACTAGTATCTTCGACCAATCCCTTATCGCCTTATCTGCCATTAAGACCATCTTGTTCTCCCACTTGCCTCTCCCTTCTTCAAATGCTATTCTCCGGTGTTCAGTTGAACTAGCTACCAATATTTCCGGACTTTGATTCTTATGAGGCTCCGGGGAACAAGACTTTAAGGGGACATTTTTTACTGGCTTGCTATCAGAAACTTCCACTGGAACTTTCCTCTCAATCTCCATAAGAAACGCCTGAAGACTAAGAGCAAAGGAAGCCCAGCCTTGCCCCTTTTTTCCTTCTGGAATACAAAAGACTTGGCTTTTGTTAATGCCAAAGTGCTCTGTAACCGAAATAAACCACACTCTTCCATTCCTTCTTAGAACAGATTCAAATCTTTTTCCCCGACAGATCACCGAGTTCCTCCATCCTTCTTCCCGTATGGAATTAACAGTTCCATCAACAAATCCTTTCAACCAAAGACACACTTCACCTGGTAGGAAGACTGTCGCCCTGCTGCCTTATCTGATTTTCAGATGAGCCTCCCCCTTTGTCCTTCCCTGCTCGAAAAGGAATTTTTTTGCTTCAATAGTCATCTCCACACGCCACCTCCCTGCTGGACTGAAGTTTCTCTCCTCTCTCGTACTCCCCATAGTTTCTCACCATTTCATGGACTTCTATCAACAAAAGGGAGTTATGTATGTAGGCTTGAAATGATAGGAAGATTTGGCAGCATAATGAATTGGTAGAATAGTTCAGAAATGGTAGCATATGGAAGGTATTAAAAAAAAGGCCCTAGTACAAGACATATCAGGGGATTTTGAGGACCAGGATCAGGTCACATGCATCCATAAGTTTTTATGTATCTCAAGTCAAAAACGTAAGCACCTAGCATGCCAGGAGAAAAATCAGGATTTATGTGAACAGAAATATTTCATATGTAATATGACTTAGTATCTGGTTACGATTCACTTGGTGAGATCTATCAAAATCTCGAATGTTAATTCTTTTTGTAGATAAGCTATACTGCAACTGTAATGCTTTCATGAGTAACTCTTGGGTTTTGTATCTGATAATATCTGAACAAAATTTAGGGCTTAATGATATAGGACAGGGTAGATCTGATGGTGGGCTTTGAGGGGTGCATAAGGGGATGTGGGTAACTAGAGATGAAGAATATAGATGGAGAAAGCTAAAGAAATGGGGATTACTAAGCTGATTATTGAAGGTGATTCAAAAGTAGTTGTGGGCTGGTTGAAAAAAGGGGAAGGAATCATATGGAAGTTAAGGAATGAATTCAGGAGATTCAAACAGATTTCTAAAGATATGATGATCCAAATAAGATGGATTAGGAGGTCTGCAAACAGTTTGGCTGATGGTCTGGCAACGCAAGGAACTCAGACACTCTATGTTCTGGGCAATTCTGTAAATAGTGAATAGTTTCTGGGTGGGCTTTGTTTTTGTGCCCACAAATCTTTGTTGTACCTCTTTTCTAATCTAATGAATCAATTTTGTGTTGCTGATCAAAACAAAAGAATATAGATGGAGAAGCAAGTAGGACGCTTTCTGTCAGGGTAACAGTAAAGAGACAGATCACTTTAAAAGAAGAAATGAGAAGAGAAAAAACAGAGAAAAACTTCTGGTAACAACCAGAGTTCACTAAACCAAACTTTATTTTTTCAAATCAACTCTCCTTTTGCAATTACAATAGATCTTTTTATAGACTCAATATGTGAGATTGGATGACCCCTTACAGAACACAGACTCCAATTTGAACTAGGAAATTGACCCAAAACAACTCTTAATTGCTTAAACTAAGGCAAACCCATACATAACACTTTCCTAATCCCACAGAAACCAACTTTATTTAAAGACACCATAAATTACTAAAAATAGTAAACTGCAAGTTTAATAATACAGTATTTATGAGAATTACCATAAATAGTAAATTCAAAAGAATGATCTAATAAACAAAACCATTTTCTTAAGATACCACTTTGAAAATAAATAAAAACCCTGAAACAATACCAATATCCTATAACCCAAAAATTCTGAAATTAGTATAGGAATTGGAAAATTGGTTTGTTTCCCCGTGAATTATTTCCTTGCTTCTGCATCTACATCACTTAACTTCTTATTTTGTTCTACATTGGATAAATGTTTGGGTGTTAAACCATTTGAGATTTCATCAGTTGGTTTCTTCTGCACAAAGTAAAAACTAGGACAAAGTATGGTTCAATATCCAATGTAGTCCCATAGACAGATTAGCTAGGTTTACAGTAATGATGGAGAATATATAAAAGGCATCCAGTGTGTAATGTGAATAGGACCCGTTGGTGTAATGGTAAAATCTTGGACTGCCATACATGAGAACATGGGTTCAAGTCTGAGGGCAGCCACCTTGTGCGGAAAGAAAAAATGCCGAAGGTTAGGACCTTACCAAGTCGACCCCTCCCAAGACCCTAGATAGCTGTAAGCCTGTAACCAACATTGGGTAATGTTCCTTTTGTGTAATGTGAATGAAATTCCTTAAGAAAACAAGGGAGGACTATGCATATTCAAGGGACTCCCATGATAGATTCAAATGAATTGAGTTAGTAAAAGACATTGTTAGTAGTGAGGTAACATTCAGAAGAAACTAAGCAGCCACCCTAGCTTGATACATGATTTTTATGCCTGATAACCTCACTACAAGAGAACTATAACTGGAAGACATGCTTCTTAATGAATACTAGATTGTGTAGAAGAAGCAAGAATGTCATTAAAAAATGTGGTAAGCCTCAAGCTAATATTCTGCATTACTCAGAAACCCTGGATTTCATTCGTGATAAACATCTAGTCCTTTAACAGTTGGTTATGTTGGCTCTTTTGAAATCTGAAGATCATATTCATTTTTACTTTGAGCAACAAGAATTGGAAATGAATTTATCAAAAAACAATAATTGGAAATGATAATGTGTGCAATCAAAAGTTTGATGCAAGGTTTGTTCGAGGTATGATGAATAACTATCATTGAAGAATTGAATGCTAATAAATAGAAACAAAAGCATTAAAAGAAAGCAAGACTATGAATACATAACAGGAAATAAAGAATAAAAAAGACACTTACATCTTTCCTGTATATGGCTCCCTGGAAATACAACAATGTTGGGCGGTTGTCATAGCTAGATGTGTCGTTGACAAAGGTTCTGATTACATGTTTGTAAGGTGCAATTATATCTTTCTCAACATTAGCTATTGTAGGAGGATACCTTCCAAAATCTGCAAGTATGAACATGGCAGGCCATAGCTTCATCCTTGCATCTAGCATGCTATTTGGATGATGTGCCATGATTATATGGTCACGTCCTCCTGATCTCTTCCATTCCTTTTGTGCAGTCAAAAATTCAACCAGCTTCTCTTGCAACAACTTGTTTCTGCTTATTTTTCCAGGTGGATGCACCTTTGAATAACGGTTATAGCTCAAGGAAGAGAAGAATGGAACAAATATGACATCTGCTTCACTTGAATTGTGAACTCTTATGGCACTACGAGTCCCAGTTATGTCAGGAAATCTTGAAGAAAGGAGATCTAGTGTAAGCCAATATTCTATGCTGTGTTGTATGTTCAATCCACCAGGATATTCAGGAATTTTGGTTTTAAGATCAGGCCACACATTATCCCCCTTCGCTTTCCAATCTAAGAGCTCAAAATGAAATTCAGGAGGCAAATCATACATGAAAACCTTCAGGACCACCTTATTTGAATGGCATTTAAATTCTTGTGTTGCTTCATTTTTACCTATGGATACTGAATGGCTGGGAATTGATAGTTCATTGCCATTTTGGTTTCGAGCTTGGGAGTTTCCATTATCCACTATTGCTAATAGCTTGGAATTGGGTAGCAAGCTGTGATCAATGAAGTGAGAAGGACTGGTGGAGCGCAAAACAAAGAACCAGGAGAAGATGAACAAGAAAGTTGATATTGTGAACAAACAAAAAAGTGATTTTCGAGACATAACTCCAAGGAAATGACCATTTCTTTCACCCATTGAAAAACTAATCCAGAAAACCACCAATACCTACGAGAAAATACTTTTCTATCCTGAAGGAAGACGATACATTGAAACAAACATCTAGGAAGAATAAAAACTCACTGGACATGTTTTGGGATGACTAATTTCAAAATGAAAAATTAGTTATGATGCCTTCATTCCAATTTAAAGAAGGGGGAAATAAAAGAACAGGTTTCAACAAAATTAATAAACTGAAAGAAAAACTGTGTAAGATCACATGGGTGTAACCAAAGCCCTCAAATCTTCCACAAGTCCCTCATCTCTCACCACGAAAGTAATCCCCATTCTTACAAAATCAAGCAAATAAACGCCGAAAACCAATCAAATTTGTCAAGAGCGATAGATGTTCCAAAAGGTCAATAATACCCATCATCCAAAAGAGCAACGAATCCCCATTCTTACAAAATAAAGGAACAAGTAGATCCAAGGTTTTAAAACCCAAAAACTAAGAATATTTATCAGCAAGAATAGTCAGTCTCTCTACATTTCAAGGAAAAGGAACCTATCTCAAGATCCCGAACGCAAATAGACTCCAAAAGATGAAATCTCGTTAACCCCTCAACGAAAATATTCAGAAAATGCAGAGGAAAAAAGGAAAAAAAAATCTAAGAACAGACTAAACCCAGCTGAATTTGACGAAGAAACAATGCTGAAATGGAAATAGGTTTATCTGAAAGTCCATCATTCATACCATTGGCACAAACCATAGCGCAGAAAAATGATCGATTAAAGCTGAATCTTTCTATGCCTCCTAACAAGCGTGCGGTTGGGGTCTATCCGAGGCTGCGGGCTCGTCGCTCTGTTCCTGAGTATTGCTAAATATACAAGTGACGAAAATATTAACTATAGAATGGTTGAAAGTTTTGGGTGTCAGTATCAAAGATGAATACTTCATCGCTTCCACTCAATCGTGTTTAAAATCTCTTATCTAACAAAAAAAATCGTGATTAGAAACGATTGATGAAAGCAAATACACATTATAAAATTCATTAAAAAATTCTGCAAATTTATCTTTGCGAGGGAGGTAGAACTGCAAATTTTTAAATCCTTCCTGACAGCCCACCTGTTAAAGATAAAGACCCATACAAGTTTCAATCGACAATGGAGACCCGGGGTTCATGAGATGAACATAAAAAAGAAACATACGGGACCAAAATATTATGGAAAGTTGGGAAACCCCACTTCTGTAATAAATACTCTGAGATAATCTTGCAATGATTAGAGATTGATTTGGGCGCATGAAAACTCTCTACCAAGTAATATGCCACACAAGCTTTTTTTTCATATCAAAATTAAAGTGATTTTTTAAAGGATGTAGTAGATTGCTATTGGTCCGGTACAGAAATTTTCTGTACCAAGAGTATAGATGATGTAAACTCACGTTCAACCAAAGTTTTAAAAACTGATCCGGAAATGGAATCTTCAGGCCACCGGTTTTCAGGTCAACAGTTTGACCATCCGGATCAAATGGTTTGAATATTTTACCCATTAGATTAGAATACTAGGGTAAGATGCATATTATATAACAGAAAATAAGGTTTGAATGAGAGAGATTTGAGAAAACTATCAGCTGAAAGAGTTTAGAAGAATAATAAGAAGAAGAAGAAGAGGAGGAGGAGGACTTGCAGGTTGCAACGGCAGTGATGACAGCAACTTACAGCGGCAATAGTGACGGCGACGGCGATGACTACAGTGGTGGCAATGGTGGCAAACCGGCGATGAAAGTAGATTTGAGATTTCTTAGTCTTAGATCTCACTCTCTCTCACTGTCTCACACATCTCAGATCTCTCTCGCCGTTTCACACAGATCTGTCTCACACATCTCAGATCTCTCTCACCGTCTCGCACAATAGAGGCAGATCTGTGATTTCTCAGTCTAAAATCAGAGAAACCTTGCCACAAACCATTCTCTAAGTCAAATGGTTCAGCGGTCAAACCATCTGAGTCAATGGTTCATTGACTAATTCAATGGCTTTTGACCAAATACCGGGTTTAGGGTAAAACAAAACCGGTCGCCTGAACGGTTTCTGGTCCGAACGATCCAACCGTTTGGGTCAACGATGGTTCAAAAACATTGCGTTCAACAAACCAAGTTGTACAAAAGGCTCATTCCTGTTGACACGTAGGGAAACAATTTCAATGAGTTGGGTTGGATCGGGTTCAAGAACAATCCAAGCCCAACCCTAAGGCTATGTTTGGTTTGGAGGAAAAAGTAGGGAAAGGAAGGGAAATGTAATGAGACCTTTACAAACCTTGTATAGGTTTCTCTGTCTTTCCCTACTTTTCGCTTCAAACCAAACACAGCCTAAAGGTGCCCTAAGTTTATCAATCTAAGCCCAAGTTGAGCTTATCCCAACATAACTCGGGTTGGGTTAGGCTCAGATTAAGGGCCTATCCGTTTGCTCTAGAGTCTGACATCTAAAAATGCAATAATTTTTAGTGAACTTTTCTTTCTTCTAAATTCTGAATGTAGAGAATGTTGTTCTGAATTCCAAATTCTAAAAATTGTCAAATGTCCATTTTAACCCCATAACTAAGATTTTTTGTCTATGTAATTCAATAAAAAGTAATATTAAAAATTAGTATAATGATTAATAATTATTGCTAATTATTAATTAATATAATAGTTAAGAATTAATTAACAATTAATAATTCATAATTCATAATCTCAATATCCACAATCGTAACACAGTGCCTTATAATATTGATGCACCATATCATCTAGTGCATCATCTAATTAGAAATATTCATGATCCTCAAGTAAACCAATCTTAATGTTGGGGTCGTAATCATCTCCTTTGCTAGTTGATTTTTCATCCCCGTCCCCTCTAACACTACTATCTTCATATTTTGTGAACAATTCATCCTTAATACTCCCCCTCCTTAAGTAATTGTGGAGGGCAAAACATGCAATAACCACATCTCGTTGAATTAGAAAGGGAACGACGTCATTAACTCCAGAATTTGAAGTCATACTTTGAGGACCTCGAACACCCGCCTGATTACATTCTGTAACTTCGCATGGCTTGGTTAAACCTCTCCTCCCTAGTTCTTGGTCATCTATGACATAAATCTGATATTCAATATCTTTGTCCGTGGTATGAAGCCATGAAATAATGAGTGTGTGGAAATGCCTGATCACACAAGTAGTACTTATCTGTAACAAGTGTGACAATATTGTCAAGCTTGGAATGTGGGAAGGATTTATAAGTGTTATATCATTTAAATGAATTTAATGCTTACCGAGAGGCGGGAATGGAAAGTGGTGATCAAGCTCAATTATAACAACCCTTAAAATCCTTGCATCATGCGCAACCCCCTCTCGTCCGACTATGACATATGTAAATATCATATTAAAGTTACAAATAGATAGAACATTCTAGTAACATTGCTTCCCACCTTTAAATATATAAGGCATTGACTTATCTGGTGTGGCGATTGTGGATATGAATGTACCATCCAATGCACTGATGGAACCCTTATACAAAATTACGGTATTGTTAATAAATGAGATAAATCATGCTTAAAATACATAACTGTTAAAAATTTGTATATAAAATATCTACTAAATCCTTCGATGGTGGCCAGTATTACTTGGGCTTGGATGATCCCAGGTTGGTACAATCATTTCACTTGTAAAATCCACCATGACATCTAATACCTCATGAAATACGTAATGCATGATATCCTTGGAATGCTGAAAATGACATTTTATTATGAAAAATCGTTGACTTAAACAAATGCATGAAAGAAAACATAGTCATCTTTTCTTCAATAGTAATATTACAAGTATCTTGTACTAAACCCATTACTCGAAAATGGCCACACAACCGCCTAAATGCACATACTTTCATTCGAAAAATCTCATGCGCCTACTCATCTCAATCCTCAAATAGCTTTATAGTATATTGATTTCCACTAAGTGAAAATTCATTGTCTGGGCAAGGACGTTTAATTTGTAAAAGTTTGACTTTCAATAGCCATAATTGGAGTAGAATTTTAACCAATGCATTCTTAGCTTTTACTATCAACATCTATAATTCAAATATATGAGAAAATTGATAATATATTGCATGATATTAAACCACAACTCAGTTTGAAATGCCTTTAACTATTAAATAAACATAATTTGTTCACACCATTGTTTCAAATCCTGAAAAAACATAAGGGTACACAATGACACTATTACAATTATATATGCTAATCATCAAAGTAGTTGTGTGCCTCCAACTACTCAATTTTGGTAGAATAAGTTGATCTATCATAGAAGCTCATCCACACTTGTTGATAACGCAAATTGTCGAATGTATGCCTTAACATACATTGGGTATCATTTTTATAAATTCCATATCCCTTACTATCTACATGCAATGTTTTACACTTGGTTCCTTAGTGATTTGGAATAATTTTTCAGCACAAGCGATGAGTGTTTCGTCATCATGTACAGTCCAACATACGAGAAACAATGTTAGCAAGTAGATGTATTTTTCTAAGTCCATTGTTAAGTGAAATGTATAGCGATGTAAAAATATTCCACTAAGTGAAGAAGCTCTTTCTGACAATAAGTCATGATGCGTTAAAAAAATGATGATATGTGTCAAACTAATTAAGTAATAACATTCATAAGATAAATTAATTTGAAATAGTTTAAAAGTTACAAGTAAAAAGCATACAACATGTTCAACCATGGCAAGTGATAATAGATATAATCAATGAAGAAAAGAACCCATAGAAACAACCTTTAACCATAAGTATCCCCTTATACCCTGAAGAGTTTTCTCACGACCTGTTGCAACCATGAGAGTTGCACATTTAAGGAAACAATCCCATGTAGCCTCTTCTACTCTCTCATATATTTTACATTCTCAACAAATATCATGGATGCTTGAATATATAATGGATATGTTTTGGAGATTCCCAATTCTAACAATGCCTCTATACACTCTATAACTGTGGGTCACACTTTAATCTCATCTGGATGTTGAGTTGCTTGGGGTAACGTATGAATTGGGTTTTATTGCACAGGTGTCCTCAAAATATCAATTACGTCCTTAATAGATTTACTAATGTTTTAATTTCACCAGCCACATCCACTCCCATAGACTTTTTCCGTCTACTCGAAGACGGACTAGCATAAATTCAACGTGCTTACCATGGTCATCACTAGACTCATTTACACCATCTGTATGTCCCATTTCCATGCCAAATTGCAAATCACTACTAGATCGTGTTGTATCATTGAAAGTACATTTTGAACCAGATAATGAATACCATCGCACTATTCCTCTTACCCTACTACCCCAACAATGTTGTCCAATGACACATGCACCTTGGAATAATGCCCAATTGCAACCCTGAATGTTTGAACACCTTCACATGGGAGTGACTCTATGTTTGTATATGGTATGAATAGTTAGAGGAAATTTTCAATGGGTATTGAAATATGAAAAAATTCAGATAATAAATGTCTATTACCTTAAGATAATTATCCCACTGTTCATCAGACCAATTTATTGTACCAATGACTAGGTCAAAACCTCCACCCGTTACAAATATCAATGATGATCATCATTAATACTATTTCCATAAATAATCATATTCACTCTTGAGTTGGTGCTTCTTTAAAGCCACCCTAGTAAACTCATGTATCCTCTAAGCTACACATAACCAAGACTCTTTCCTAAGTGACATACTCGATCTCCCAACAGTGTTGATCTCATTTATACAGACATCTAAGAATATTTTTACTAATGTAGGGTCCCAAATTGTCCTCAAGCTATCATTTGATGCCATTTTTTACACTTATGTTACAAAATACATTCTAAAATGCCAAGTTCAAAATATTATATATTCACTTTCTAAATAACATATTATATATATGTCATGCATATAATATTTTGCTATCATATATCAAATTACCAATTTTTTATTATTATATTTATTATTTAATATTAGTTTTTACTTTTCAATATATATTAGATTATATTTTTTTTATATTACAAATTGTTATTTCTTAATAATTTTTATTATTTTCTATTAGTTTTTACCATATAATATATATGTATATATTTATATTTATATACATACTTAACATATCATATGTATATTATATGTATGAATGCATACACATAATTTTTCCTATCCTATATCATATTACCAATTTTTTTAATATAATTTTATTATTTTATTCATTTTCTATCATATGATTTATTATTTT